TGTGGATGATGTCCGTGTCCTAGTGTGTGCACAGGCGGGATGGACGCATGTGGCCGATGTCCGTGTCCTAGTGTGTGCACAGGCGGGATGGACGCATGTGGCCGATGTCCGTGTCCTCGCGTGTGCACAGGCGGGATGGACGCATGTGGATGATGTCCGTGTCCTAGTGTGTGCACAGGCGGGATGGACGCATGTGGCCGATGTCCGTGTCCTCGCGTGTGCACAGGCGGGATGGGATGTGCATGGCCGGCTGAGGGCCTCGCCACGCCTTGCCCTCCGCCCCGCAGTGCGTCCACACGGGTTTTCCGTCACGTGTTCCCGCGGCCACAGCGGCTCTCGAGGCGCTGGCTCCCCTCGCCCCTCACAGGAGAGGAGGCCGAGGCTCAGAGGGCCCCGCGGGCGGGCTGGTGGCTGGGCAGATGGTGCCCCGCCTGGTACCCAGTTTTCCAGCCTGTGGCCTGACGTTCTCCCTGGACGGGGTCTTCCCTGGCCCCTGGAGAGGTAGGCGGGGGCGCAGCCCGAAGGCGGACTCTGCGCCGTGGCTGTCCTGGGCTTCCCCGGGCTCTGACTGTTCCCCTCTGCCGCGGTGACCGGACAGGGACAGGCTGCACACAGACAGGCTGGCCACGTCAAAGCCACGTGTGCTTGTGGGGACAAGTGCCCTAGACCCCTGCGAGGTCCCGCTGGTCGCCACTCGGGGTCACAGGGGCCCCCCTTTGTGGGACGGAGCCGCCGAGGTGCCCCCTGGGGGTTGCGGAGCTGCTGGGGGCCGCCCGCCCTGCCGCCAGTCTCCGGAGCCCCGGCCCGGCAGACACCGCCTTTAAAAATATTATTCCCGGCGATCCGGAGACTGTTTACTAGACGGAGCGAGACGGGCGTGCGGAACGGGCCCAAGTCCCTTAAAGAGCGTCCTTCAGGGGGAACAGAGCCCCAAACAGAACACAGCGCTCTCAGGTCCCAGGTGGTAAATAGATGGATATTACTACGAAAATAGCTCTGGCCGCCGTGCAGGCAGGAAGGCCGGGCGGGTTTTTCCACGGCTGGCTCGGACCCGGCCGCTCCAAGCCGGGCAGCCGCTGCCTGGGGAGGTGCCATGTGTGAGTGTGTGTGTGTGTGTGTGACCGTTTGCACCAAAAGGGAGAGTGAGACGAGAAACACGGAGCCATGCCCGCATGTTCCAGCCGAGCCCTGGGGCCGGGCCCCTCCCTCTGCCGACTCCCAGGCAGGGCTCCTCTCCCGAGCACCCGTCACCCCGCACCCCCACCTTGCACCCCCACCCTGCACCCCCACCCCGCAGGTGAGGGGCCGGGAGAGCAGGCAGCGTCTGCAGCCGAGGCTGGCTGGCTGCCAGGCCTGCGGGGTGTTGGGCCCCGCTCCCGTCCACGTGTCCCCCGGGAGAGCGGCTGGGCTGGAACAGAGGCCCTCGCACCCTGACAGCCTGGCCTGGGCCTCCCCGTCTCCAGGCCGCCTGTGCCAAGCAGTCTCGAGTTTTCCGTGGCAAGGGTGCCGTGGGAGGCGGGGGGCGGGAGGGCCAGGTGCGGCTGCCCCGGTGGAGGCGCCCGCGGATGGGAGCCGGGCCCGCAGGCCTCGGGACGGTTTCCCACCAACGCCCCGGCCTGCGTGCTCCGACCTGCTCGCCCCCGGGCCACCCGCGGCTCCGCCCGCTGCTCCCTCACCCGCCGCCGCCGGTGCCTCCCACCTCCGGGCCCTGCTCATGCCTGTCCTCCTGCCTGGGGCGCCCTCACCCGCTCCGCCAGCGGGAACTCCCGCCTCCGACACGCAAGGCAGGAATCCGCCGCCCGCCGGGGGCCGCCTGGCCGTGGCCTGGCTCTCCCCGCACCCTCGCCGTCCCCGGGCTTCCCGCCGGCCCTCACGCTCCCTCCCAGGGAAAGTTCCCGTGGGCGTGTCCGGAGGGCGATCCGTCACCTCCTACAGTGAAGGTAGAAGGCCCCGCCAGACTCTCCTGTGTTATCTCCGTGAGTCAGCGGTGACTCAGGGAGGAAGGCGTGGCTCTCAGGTGAGGCCAGACGAGGAAACCGAGGCGCAGGGAGGAGAGCGGCCTGGCCGGGCGCCGGCTGGTCCTGCCTGTCGGTCTGGGACCACGCCTGCACCGAGTCCCCGGCCCAGCACAGCGGGCCCGAGCGGCGGTTTGCTAGAGCAGAGGCCCCGGCTCTGAAAACGGGGGCCCTTCCTGCCCCCCTGCCCCCTGCCCCTGCCCCGGAGCGAGGGTGGGCTGTCCACGGGGCAGTGGCAGGCAGGCAGCTGGGCCTGCGCCACGGATCCCCGGCTCACGTCCTTCGATGGTCCAGAGCAGGGTTTCCCAACGTGAGGTACCGGGGGGCCATTTGATTTTTAAGGGGGACAATTCCAGAGTGTGTTTACTAAGGCCCAGTGCACAGGATTTGTGCATGAGGAGAGGGATGTGTCTCCCAGCTCAGCCTGCATCCTTTTGCAATCCAGGACCCCTCAGATCGGGATGTCTGACTGCCGGTTTAGGCCCGATCCCACACAGAGCCTAACTGGCAGTCAGACATCCCTTTTGCAAGCCCGGACTGCTGGCTTCTAACCACTCGCCTGCCTGCCTGATCGCCCCTCACCACTTGCCTGCTGCCTGCCTGATTGCCCCTTACCACCTCCCCCTCAGCCCCAGCCACTGTAGCTTTGTCCAGAAGGATGCCCGGAAGGTTGTTTGGCTGCCTGGTCTAATTAGCATATTACACTCTTATTATTATAGACATCGTGATATATGTATGCACTTCAGTTCTCGATTAGATGTTTTTGAAACTTTATTTGCTGCTTTTTATCACTTCACGTTATTATTTTTTAACAATTTCCTAGCGATTTCTTCCTCCATATTTCAACGGTCCTTTCGTCTTTATTTCTCTCTCACGGGTGCCGTGTTCTTTGGAAGCTTGTTTAGACCAAGTTCATGGCCCTTGAGGCTTCCTGCACGTGACTAGGAGTCACTCTTTGAAAAATGAGAATGACATGTCCCAGGGGGCATCAGGGTTTTGGGCGCTCAGGAGGGGTGGTCAAAAGAGGTTGGGAACCCCTGGTCCAGAGGTTCCGAGGACTGATCCTGGTTCCAGCTTCTCCTCCCTGCCCTGCGCCGTGCCATCCTGTCACCTCTCCCGGCCTCACTGCCCTCACTGGTCAGGTGGGTTAGCAGTACCCCACTGCCCACCAGTGGTTGGGGTGACAAGCAAACCACTTTCTGGTGCCACGGCCAAGGGCACGCCAGGGGCGATGGAGACAGGCCCGAGGACCAGGCACGCACCCCGTCTGCGTCAGCGGGCCTAGGTTTGCTCCGTGTCCAACCCGTCCCCCGTGATGCCTGCCCCAGCCCCGTGATGCCGCCCCCAGCCCAGAGGGAGGGAATCAGGGTTGGGAGGCTGTAGCTGTGGCTAACCAGGCCGGGGCTGCAGGGAGGGGCAGGCACAGGAGGAGGTGTGTGTGTGCGCGGGGGGGGGGGGGGGTGGGGGGGGCGGGGGGGGGGTCAGGTGGCCAGAGGGCCCAGGAGCCAGCACGGAGGAGTTTTTCCAGAGCAGGCCTCAGCTGTGGCCTGGGGGTGTGCGGGGGAGGCTCCCCAGCCAGTGCTGCCCCCCAGACCTCCAAGGGGTTCCTGCCCAGAGGCAGTCAGTGCTTCCCTCCTGGACAGGCTGCCCCGCCCGTGGAGGTGGGTCCTGATACTCCCCCATTTCTCAGAGGGGCAAGTGCTGCCCAGCGTGCGCCTGACTCCGGGTCCCGCGGGGCAGTAAGCACCAGGCGGGAGGGCTCCCGGGCTGTGTCTGTGTCTGGGCAGCCAGGAGGGCCATGCCACCCTCTCCATCACCCCCTGGCCCCAGGGCCACCCCAGGTGCCTTAGGTAAGCTCTCTGCCCCCAGAGCCCGGGCCAGCGCTGGGAAGGCAGGTCCAGGTGGCAGCGAACTGAGTGGGGCGGTCCAGAGCGGGCGCAGGGGGGCGGGAGCGGGGCGCAGGGGGGCGGGAGCGGGCGCAGGGGGGGCGGGAGCGGGCGCAGGGGGGCGGGAGCGGGCGCAGGGGGGCGGGAGCGGGCGCAGGGGGTGCAGGTAACTCACCGCCCCCCCAGCTCCAGCAGCCCAGGCTGCCCGGGGCCGGCGGCTCCCTTGCATTTCCACACAAACAAACCCCGAATTTAAAAGTCGGAGCGGAGGACGACCCAGGGCACAAAAATAGCCGCGGCCACAAAGTCAGGGCTCCGCTCCCGGCTCCTCCCGGCCCGGTGCCTCCCCAGGGGTCCCCGGGGTGGCCCCGCGTGCAGCGGAAACGGGCCCCCGCGCCGTCCTGGGGGTGGGGTCCCCTCCGGTGTTTGCGCTCCCACCGGCTGGAAGTGCGGGGAGGACGGGGAGCCGGGGGCCCCGAAGAGCCCCCTCCGGCCTGCTCCCCGGGGGCCGGGCCGCTCCCGCCGGGCTGGGCGCCGGCCTCAGTGTCCCCGCGGCCGCGGCGGAGCGGGCGGCGGGCAGCTTTGTGCGGCGCAGACAATGGCCCGCCGCGCGGCTCCGGCCTCGCCGCCCGCCGCCCGCCCGCGGCTTTTCATTTTCTTTTTCGTTGGCGGCAGCGGAGGGAGCTCGGCCCCCGGCCCCGCCCGCGGCTCCGGGAACCGGCGGAGGCAAACTTGCAAGTTTGCACGGCGCCGGCGGGCTCGCCGCACTCGGCGGCGGCGGCGGGGGCGCGGGCGCGGGCGCGCGCGGGGGGCGGGGGCGCGCGGCGGGCGGGCGGGGCCGCGGGCGGGGCGGCGGCGCTGCGCCGAGTCCGCGCCCGTCGCGGGCCCCCCGCCGCCCCCCCGCGCCGCGGTCGGACGGAGCGGCCGGGCGGGCGGGGGCGCGCGGCGGGCGCGCGCACAAGTAGTTACATTGTTGGGCGACTTTTGCAACAACTCGCCGCGCCGCGGCCTCCGCGCGCCGCCGCCGCCCCGCCGCCGCCGGCTCCCGCCGCCCGGGCCCGGCCGGCCGCGCCGGGGGCCGCCGCGCTCCGCCGCCGCCATGGACACCAAGCACTTCCTGCCGCTCGGTGAGTGCGGGCGGCCGCGCGTCCTCGCCGCGGGCCCCGCCGGCCTCCGGAGTTGGGGCGCCGGGCCCGGGGCGGGGGCGCCAACTTTTACCCGCGCGCGGGCGGGGGTCGCGGGGCGGGGGCGGCGGGCGGGGGGTGCCCGGCCTGGCAGCCCGCGGCCGGGATCCCCGCTCCGGCCGGCGGCGGGGCCCGGGGCCGGCGGGCGGAGCAACTTGTGCGCTCGCAGCCCCGGGGCCGCGATCGGGACGGCCCCGCGCCGCCGCCCGCAGGCCGCCGGGACCGGACCCTCCTCCCCGGAGCGGCCGGCCGCGGGGACGCAGGTCTGGGAGTCCGGTCCCGGCACGGGGCCCCTCTCCGGGCACCCGGGCGCCTCCGGGCCTCCCTGGGCCGGCCCTGCACCCGGAGAAGGACGCCCGGAGGCCGGGGTCAGCTTGCCGTCCTCCCCGGCCGCCCGCTGCCTTCCCACCGGCCGGGACCCTCCGACCCCGGCCGGGCCCCTCCGGAGAGTAGGAGGGGGCCTGGCCCGGCGCCCCGGGCCGTGGGCTCGGGGTCTTGGGCGCCGGGAGGCAGGGGGAGGCGGGAGACTTTACAAATGAGTGCCGGGAAGGGCCAGCAGCCAGGCTGTCAGGCCGGTGAGGGATTCGTCCTGGATGGAAATTAAAGCAGCTGATTCTGAGCGAACCCCACGGTCAGCCCCCCACCCCCCCCACCCCCCCCCCGCTCCCCACACACACAAACACTCCCCGTCTGCCCTCTCTGCAGCCGGGCCGCAGCCTGGCCCTGGGCTGCTGGTCAGAGCCTGGCCCGGCTGCAGGGCCCTGGGGCTGGGCACTGGCCCCACGGTGCAGGGTGAGGGTGGGCACGGGGCCCACGGGTGACTGCGAGGCTCCGGGGCTGTCAGATCCGAGAGCCCCTCCTGACTGTATGACGAGGACCTGGGCTCCCCCAGCCCCCGCGGGCATGCGTGCCCATTTCACAGACAGGAAACGTGGTGGCACAGGCGGAGGCCAAGGCTACAGGCCCCATGGAGTGGGGCGTGTGGGGCAGGGACCAGCTGAGGTGTCTGTGACCTGCTGTCCGGCCTGGTGGGCCCCGATGGGCTGACATCTCCCCATTAAAGCTTTGCATGTGCTCGCGCACGCATGCATGTGCACGTATGCGCACACACACACACACACACATACACACTCACATACACACACACTCACACACACACACTCACACTCACATACACACACACACACACTCACACACATACACACACACACACTCACTCACACACACACACTCACTCACATACACACACACACACTCACACACACACACACTCACACACACTCACACTCACACACACACACACACTCACACTCACACACACACTCACACACACACTCACACACACTCACATACACACACTCTCACACTCACACACACACACACACACTCACTCACACATACACACACACACACTCACACACACTCACACACACACACACACACAGGGCTCTGTCCTGATGGCCTGGGAGCTGGCCTGGCGGGGCCCAGGCTGCAGGGTGGGTGCCAGCGTCCCTGTGAGGAGGAGCCACTGCCCAGGACCCCGATGGACGCCCCCGCACCGCCGGGGGCTGCAGGCTTCTCCCCACACACGCCCGTGGCCTTGGGGCGGCCCGCACACCCGGGCTGAGCGGGTACGGCTCTGAGCACGTTTTATTTTTCCTGAGCCCGTGCCCGGCGCTGTGGTCCAGCGGGGTGGAAGGGCCGTGTAAGCGGCCAGAGGCCTGCGCCCCTGCCAGCACGGCCTAACCCCCCTGGGGGGTGGGGGTGGGGTGGGAGGCCTGGCCCGTGCCCCCCTCGTAGTTGTCCGGCCACGTCCAGGGCCTCGGGCCCCAGGCCTCCTCCTCCCGGCGCCGTGGGGCTCGGTGGGTGCTGTGGGCACTTGCCCTCACCCGCCCAGGGCCTCCCAGCTGCCGCCTGCTCAGCCCCCTGGCGAGGGACGGCATGAGCCCCCGGTGCAGGTCTGGAGGCCGAGTGACCCCCCCCCAGGTGCCCCTGCCGACTGCCCCTGCTGAGGCCGGCCAGCGGCCCGCACCCTTCGGCGGGCAAGGCTGTGCTGCCATCGGCCTGGGCGGCAGGGCTGGGTGGCAGCCGGGACTGGGTGTCTGGGATCTGGGACCACACCAGACCCTCCCGGCAGCGAGTGACCCACTTGCCCGGGGAGGGCGGGTGGCCGCAGCAGAGCGGCAGACACACTGGCCACCCTCTTGGGGGCTCGTGGGGACCTGGGCGAGCCTGGAGCCCCGGTGAGGGGCTTCTGGTAACATTGGAGCCTCCGGGACCCAAAATAGAGCGCGTTCCGGGGCCTCCCGAAATAACAGGGTCACGTGACTCCCGGGAGGCCGGGCTGGAGTCCGCCTGCCCAGGCAGCTCTGCCTCGCCCGCCCGCCCGGACCCTGCCGGCTGCCGGGCGTTGTTTTGGTGAGCTCCAGAGGGCTCTGTTTGCGGACGGGGAAGCGTCGGGGTGCGAGAAGCAGCTCTCAGATGTGGCCGGGCCGTGGCCGTGGCCTTGCCGCCTGCATCCTGCCCCGGGGCTGGCCGTCGGCCCGGGCCCAGCGTGCAGCCCCGTCCCCCGCTGCCAGGCCGTGGGTGGGACCAGCCGGGGCCCCCAGGACGGCCGGCGCCCTGAGCCAGGGTGAGGCCGCTCCACCAGCTCTTCCGGCTGTGCCTGTCCTTCGGGGCCGTGGGAGGCGGCACCTCCTCCAGGAAGCCCTCTGCCTGCCCGCCTGGCACCCACCCACCCCTCTGGCTGGGGGGGCAGTTTCGGTGGGTGGTCTTCGTTTCCTCTCCGGGGAAGGAGGCCTGGGGGCGGGTGGTTGTGGAATTACTGTGCGGGCACAGGCTGGTCGGTGCCCAGGGCCCGTGGCGGCCCCTGCCCGGGGCAGGCTGGGCGTGCAGGCGGGGGGCTGCGGCACCAGGAGAGGGCCCCGGGGGAGTGCGGGGGGATGGGTGGGAGCTAAAGGAAGGGGGGTTGGAGGTGGGGGTGGCTGGTAGGCCGCGCAGAGCCCTGGAAGCTGCTGTAGGGTCTTAGGTCTGTGGCTGCGTGGGCTCTTTCCGCAGTGGGCGTCTCAGAGCCGAGGCCAGCACTGCCAGCTGGCCGTGCTTCAGGGCGAGAGGGGTCTTCCCCGTGGCGCCCGCAGGGGCAGCACAGCGGCTGGGCTCGGAGGACAGAGCGGAGCCCGCCGCTGCCTCGGGCCAGGGCTCCGCAAGCCGGGACCTGCCCTCCCTTCTCTACTCCCTCCTCCCTTCCTCTTCCCGGCTCGCCGTGGGGCTCACAGCCGCCTCCCTGGCCAGGCCGCGAGGTGGCCCTCAGCGGGCCTATTTCCATGGGAACTGGCCACGGTGAGGCCGGGGTGGGCAGGGTGCTCCAGCCCTGCTGGCTGGACTGCGGGGCTGGCATCTGTTTGGGGCTCACCTGCCAGACCTTTGCCCGGCGTTTGCTAAGCAGATCAGTTTCAGGGATGCTGGGGAGGGGTGGAGAGAGGGCGTCCCTGCACCGCCCCCCTTCCCTGCCTGCGCCCCCTGCCCCGCTTCCCTGCCTGTACCCGCCCCCCTGCTTCCAGCATTCAACCTTAACTTTTCCTCCCCCTGCCCGCCTCCTGCCCCCTTCTGCCCCTCCCCCTCGCGTGTAGGCCCCTGTGTCACTTGCTCTCCCACCCGCTCTCTCAGGAAGGATGTGGCCATCCCTTGGGGGGACCCCAGGAGCTGTACCTTCCTGGGGGGCTGTGCCCTGTGCTGGCCAGGCCACTGGGGTCCTTCTCTGTCCTTGTGGCCGGGTGTGTGGCCTGCCCGTCCACCGCCGAGCCGCCCCGTCCATCTGTAAAGTGGACGCACGTCCGGGCTCTCCAGGGCCTGGCAGAGCGGGTTCATGGGGCCTGTCCCTCTGCTCCTGCCCAGCCAGGTTGGGGCCGGGCGGGCCGGGCCAGAGTATTAGACCAGCTGAGCAGGGGTGACGGCTGGTGCCCCAGCGTGCGCGGTGGCTTCAGGAACGGGGTCCCCCACACGGCCTCTCCCCGAGGCCCACAGCGGGCAGGTGGGACCGGGGCCCGCGGGACACCCGTCCGAGCCTGGTGCGCCGCTCTTAGCCGTGTGCCGCGCCTCCCAGCCGGGAAATTGCGCCCCGGAGTCAGAGCGGGTGTCTGCTCAGCAGCCAAGTGGTGTGAAATGGAGCAGAAAGCGGCTGCATGACACCCGCCGGCCGTGCAGGGAGCATGGGGTGCGCACACGTGTGCAGGGCCTGGGCGTGCGGCTCGCGCGTGCTCACACTCCCGCCCAGGCCCCTGCCTGCAGCTCCGTCCGCACTGTGTGTTGTGTGTCCCTGTGACCTGTGTCCCTGTGTCTGTGTGTTCGTGTGACTGTGTGTCCCTGTGTCTGTGTGTCCCTGTGACCCGTGTCCTGTGACTCTGTGTCCCTTTGACCCCCTGACCCTGTGTCTATGTGTTCCTATGATCCCACGTTCTGTGACCCCGTGTCCCTGTGATTGTGTGTCCATGTGACTCTGTGTCCCTGTGTCTATGTCCGTGTGATCCCGTGACTCTGTGACTGTGTGTCCGTGTCCGTGTGTCCGTGTGCCTGTGCGAGGTGGCTGCTCGGGCCTGAGTGCCCGTGGAGATGTGGGCGGGTCTCCCCGTCTCCTGCCCTCCCGTGTTCCTGTCACCCCGCTGAGGCCCCCCACCGGCACCCGCTGTGCGTCATTCCCCGGGCCGCCTGGAGGCTCCGAGCTGTGCGTGAGCAGTGGGAAGTGGAGCCCTCCGGAGGCCGGCCTGGCCTCTGTGCTGGGCCCGTCTGGGGGCCCGGAGCGCCCGCTGAGCGGGCCTGTCCGGGCGGGGTGCTGCCCTCGGCCCTGCCGACCCTCAGCGGCCTGGGCCCTGGCTGCTCCTGGGCTGTTCTCCGTGGACGCTGAGGGGAGGCTCGCTCTGTCTGCTCTGCCCTCTCCACCCGGGAGG